GAGAAAAAGGAAAAAAGGTGAGCCGTTGGTGCCCAATTTTTCCCTCCATTTCTTATTATTTAGGGTTTTATATAAGATGGGCCAAAGTGTAAAATAAAAAACATGGGGATGAGAAATTCATCCCCTTAATCCTTAATTTAAAAGTTGTCACCCCTACTCAATAATTAAGACTTGAGTCACCTGTACCTAATTTTGAAACCTTTCTATTACCCTTAATTCATTGTCCCATGTATCTAGGTGTATCTGACTTAAAATTTGGTATGAAATTATTAATTAGTAAGATAAAATGTAATTATTTCAAATTATAGGAAGAATTAGTAAATATGATAGAAATATTTGTCTTATTAGATAGTTTCTCCAAAATTCATTTGGACTAATAAGATAAAGTCATTTGTTTAATTAAATAAGTTATCAATTGTTATGTCTGTTATAAAAGATAATTTTAGATTAAAAAACCGTAAAAAATAATTTTTTATTAAATAAATATATAAAATAAAATATTTTTGAACTAAGTATGATATGTTACACTTCGTTTGGATGGTTGTTACCCGTTGTATTGTATTGTGTAGTTAGTTTAAATATAATATTTGTTTTGATTGTTATTTAAATTTTGTTGTATCGTGTCGTTTAAATTCATCTTTAGGTAAATGTAATGATCGATTTAGTGTGATCACGTCGTTACCTTAATATTTTCTTTTCATTTTGTCTTTATTTATTATTTAATAATCATATTTCATCTTTTGTCCTATTTTTTCATAGTAGCTATACTATGTACCCTACTTTTTTTGTAGATCTATCATTTAAATTATAGATGTATATCATTATGCAACGAAAACAATACAATCTATATATCCAAACACTATATTCATTAAAATAATATAATACGATACAAAATAATACAATACATTACAAAACAATACGTAACAATCATCCAAAGAAATAAGCTATCAACATCAGGATCCAAAGAAAATAAAGAAGTAGATTTGTCTGATTAACAAACAGAATACAATAATAACTTTAAAGATATGTTATTTATTCATTTCTTTGATCAATCAATAATTTTGTTATCTACTCATTGATGTTTCCACCTTTATCATGGATAACGAGGGGGAGATCTTGGAATTGCTATAAGATCCCCGTATAACGGAGAAGCGTTCCTTAATAAGATTTTTTTGTATATTTAAGAGTTGAATTTGAAAATTTTGATTTATATATTAAGTCTTACACTCTCTCGGTCCATTTTAAAAAATAAAATAAAATAGTATTGTATTTAAGGGTGTTCAAAATCAGCTATTGCTATTACTAGCTTATCATTTTTCGACTAGTAAACTTGATTGTAATTCATGGAGTTATTTTATATAAAATAGTAAAAAATTATAAATTCTCTCTATCACAGTATATATTCGCTCTTCAATTTATATTAAGTGAATTGTTGAGGTATAATATATATTTTGAAAAAATATTCTAGGATATAAATAAAAGGCTACTTTCTACTATCCTTTTTATCATTTCTAAACTATTTTCCTACAAAATATAAAATAGTCAGTAACATCATTAAATGAAACATAAATATATAAAAAAAAATTAATAATATTTTTAAACTTTGAACAATTCACTTATTTAGATTATAAAAAAAAAGTCCAATATGGACTAGAGGGAGTACTATACTACTGTCTTTTTTTCTAAAATAAGTGTTATTTTGACGAAAAAATAGACCATTTCAAAATAAGTGTTATTTTAAAAATTTAGGACAAAAAGTAGTAATTGTTTTCCATTATACTTTTTTTTTACTTTTTAATTCTAATTTTTCACATGACATGATTAAGATCATAAAATCAAAAGATATTTAGTATATTTGACACATTTTTAGTTTGAAATCACAAAAATCAAAAATATTTTTGCTTTTTTGAAAACGCTATGTCAAAATAAAATATGACAAATAAAGTATAAAGTAAAATGAAAAAAAAAATCTTATATTTTTCTCTTAGTGGATGTAAAATAAATAAAAAATAATATTTATTTTGAGACGGCGAAATAATAAATTTTCTATGATTTCTAATTTCTATGTCACCCAGATCTTGTATCAAATTTATTATCTGGAAAACATCATCAGTAACATCATGACAACTGCTTCTTAAGTATGAATTACTCAATGTAAGTAAATATCTGAATATTTTTTGGTGGAATATTATTTGAGTGTTTGACTATGAAAATAAATATTAAAAAATTTAAAGTCTCAAGTAAAAATAATAAGATACTCATGTCATTGTTTTATTAAATTTTACTTAAACACAATTTTTATTTTTAACTATTAAAGTGTATGTATATCTTAAAGATTGTTTCTGCTATACGCTCGACTCAAAAAACAACATCTACCTATTATAATCCCACAAATAGAAGTTAGAGTCTATTTGTGGAGGGCGAGTATAGTGTATGAAGATTTTATATTATCAACTTCTTTTGAAAAATTAAATAAAATATGATGCAAATAATTTGTATTTATAATCCCACAAATAGAAGTTAGAGTCTATTTGTGGAGGGCGAGTATAGTGTATGAAGATTTTATATTATCAACTTCTTTTGAAAAATTAAATAAAATATGATGCAAATAATTTGTATTTATAATCCCACAAATAGAAGTTAGAGTCTATTTGTGGAGGGTGAGTATAGTGTATGAAGATTTTATATTATCAACTTCTTTTGAAAAATTAAATAAAATATGATGCAAATAATTTGTATTTATAATCCCACAAATAGAAGTTAGAGTCTATTTGTGGAGGGTGAGTATAGTGTATGAAGATTTTATATTATCAACTTCTTTTGAAAAATTAAATAAAATATGATGCAAATAATTTGTATTTATAATCCCACAAATAGAAGTTAGAGTCTATTTGTGGAGGGTGAGTATAGTGTATGAAGATTTTATATTATCAACTTCTTTTGAAAAATTAAATAAAATATGATGCAAAAAATTTATATTTATAATTATCATGTGCATAATTTTTTTGTGTTGAATAGGTTGTACTCTGCCGTATAAAGTTGAGCAAGTTGTCAACATTCATTGGTCCCATCTATAATTTATATGGATATATATAATAATAAACCAGTATTAATTCAATATGTGTGTGAGGTCAGTATTCAATTTTCTTTATTTAAGGACACTCCATCTAGATTGCTTCAAATTACGCTAGTGTTTGGTTATAGATTTCCAAATATTCTTGGCAAATATTTTTTGGGTGAAAATTTGGGTGAAATTTCACCATGTGTTTGGCCATAGTATTTGGGAAATATATTTCACTTTTTTAGAAAATATGATTTATTCCCATAAGTTTTAAAAATTATCAAAACAAATCATAAGTTTGTATTACAAGTCAATTGGATCTTCATTGCAACAAATAACAAGTAGTGTCCATGACACTAGAGCAATGTGGTAGTTTGGAGTGAGTGCAACAAGCATCATTTCATATATGGGTGTACATGACCGAGTTGGTTCGGGTTTTTCAACTATCAAATCAAACCATTTGTGTAAAAATTTTAAATTTATAAATCAAATCAAACTAATAAAATTCAATTTTTTTCGAGTTTTTCAACCTCGGGTTGGTTCGGGTTTTTCAAATACCAAACCAAACCAAACCATTGCGTCGAATTTTTAAATTTTTAAATCAAACCAAACTAATAAACCTCGGATTTTTTCAGATTTTTGGATTTTTTTCGGTAAAGTTTGCATACAAACATATAATTAACTTGTGCTCCAAATATTTCTTTTAGTCCAACCAAAATACAATTTATCTAAGGTGTTTCTTAAGAAAATAACACAAATTATGAGATGAGTACTAATGACACTAAAATATTCAATAAAAAATAATAATGAAATCATCATATAAAATAAATATTGCAAAGTCATAATGAAAATGATCATAATTTAAAAGTACTAAATCATGCTAAAATAAGTTTAATAAGTATTAGTTACATTACTAAATATTTAAGGAAAATTAAAATTAGATTATGTATTTTAATTGTCTAAACCAATGTAAAACTAAAGAATAAATATTCAATATTATTGTCATTCTTAGTGTTGAATTGATTTTCTTTTTGCATTAGTATTAATTTGATTTTAATTTAATTTTTTATTATAATTATAAACATCTATGAACTATAATCTTTATTGGACCATTCCGAATTCTAAGTTTTAAACTGAAATAATTTATTAAAAGATAAAAACTATGAAATAGTATAAGAAATATTTTTAAAATTAATATCAAAGTAAATATTTTTATGTATAAAACAAAATTTTAAAATTACATTTATAATGTCGGGTTGGTCTGTTTTAGTTAAAACCAAATCAACCCAAATATAGTCAGGATTTTTTTCCCAATACCAAACCAAGTCAAACCAAACCACTAGTCGGAATTTTTTTCCGGTTTGACTCGATTTGCGGTTTGGTTCGATTTTCGATTCAGTTTTGTACACCCCTAATTCCATACATCGTGAAGTAGACAAAACACATGACTTTGTTACCCTAAGCCGATTGTTCATCATTTTTATCAACAGCCATATCATCGCTTTCATATCCACGAAATATTTCATCACTACTTTGGTGTTCACGTAAAAAATTATGTAATACAACGCAAACAACTACTATAGAGGGTGTTTTTGTAAAAAGATAAAAGTTTGGTGTAAAATTTTAATTTTCAAAAGATCCCCAAATAATGAGATTTGGCCCAAATACTAGAAAAACTAGTATTGGATTGGATATTGCCAAATAATAGCAAATTGTATGGACAAACACTATTTGCCAAATTTTCCCCCAAATATTATTTGGAAAATCTATGGCCAAATGGGCCCTAAGTTGTCACCATTATTATTATTATTATTATTACTATAAATAAAATACTCAACTTGGAGATAATAATTTGATAATTTATGCCCCAAAGTGCAACTATATAAAGACTTCCATTTCTGATTCATTATTCATCAATTTTTTCCAATTAAATACTTTTATTTCTATATTACATAATCATTTTTTTTAAAAAAAAATGGGTTTGAAAGGAAAGTTGATTTCAGAAACAGAGATAAAAGGTTGTAAGGATTTATTTCATGAAATGTTTTGTGAAAAACCACACCATCTTCCAAATGTTGTACCACAAACTATTCAAGCTGTTGATTTACATGAAGGAGATTGGGGTACTATTGGCTCCGTTGTTAACTGGAATTATACTATCGGTAACATTTTTTAATCACTTATTTTAATTTAACCGTATGTTCACCATTATTTATTCTGGTCCATGACTATTTATGACAATTTCTCTATTTACAAATCAGTATATAGGAAAATTATTTTCTTCTTCCCAATTAGCCTAATCATTAAGTAAGCATTAGTCCAATAGTCCTATGGAAGGTTTACTTCAAAATATTTGATTTTTTTTTTTTTTGAAAAAAAAGGAGTCATTTTTACTTCTTTTTTTTCCTGGATTTACTCTTATTATTCTAATTACGGACTTATTAATTATTAAAACCTGTCAAATACGGCTCCTATTGGGCCTTTTTTAGAAATAAAATAAAATATATTTTGTTACCTCTTGGCTGAAACTTTATGATTTAGGCTGAATATTTTTTTCAAATTTATTTAACTAAAAATAATGGAGTTTAAGCAAAACTTTTACAAATTTGGACCGAAAACAAATAAGAAATACACAAAAATAATCTGTCATTACTTCTATAGATAAATCAAAAGAAATAAACAACTAGAACTCGATTATTTTAAATAAAAAAAATTATTTGTCTAAAACATTAGGCTCTAGCTAGCAAATGTGTTTTAAAATAAATTTGACCCGAAAGACAGAACAAATACATGTTTACAATGAATAGCTATTGCATCTAAACAAAAAATAAAATTAAACTCTATTATTTTAGATAAAAATCCAAAAATAATTTAGATATACACTGAATAAAACGTTCAAATAAAGGATGGTTCGAAATATTCCTTGTAGGGTATTATTCGCCATATAAGTAAAAAGATGGAGAAATCTAAAAATTATACAGTCCAATATACTTATATATATTTCGGCTTGTAATAATTTTTATTTTTATTTCGATTGTGTTGATTAATAAATGGAAAAATATATAAAAACCCAACATAAAATCTTTTGTCATGTAACCTAATATATAATATTATAAAAAGTTATATTGGGAAGGGGGGGGGGGTAATTATAGATACACAACACTATTATATAAATATGTATAATAGTGTATAAATGGTGTATATGACTAGGTGGTGTAAATATTTTTTTATAGACATAACCTAATTTTACATTCTTTTTTTTTTGCGCAAAAATAGAGGGGGATGAGAAGGTTGTAAAGGTGATTATTGACGAGATAAACAAGGAAAAAAGGTTAGTGACATTCAAGGCATTTGAAGGTCATTTGATAGAGGAATACAAGGCCTTCAAAGCTACTATTCATATTGAGAATGAAGGAGATAACAACTTGGCTATATGGACTATTGAATATGAAAAGCAAAATGAAGACATTCCAGAACCCTTCTCTTATTTGCAATTAGCCACTAATCTAACCAAAGATGTTGACACCCATCATGTCAATCAGTAATATCCTATGTTATTCAGACTCTTCAAATATATAGACGAGTGGATGTGTGTGTCAGATTCTTCAATAGTAATGTATTTTTGAAGAAATTCAACACAACTGTGGTATGTTTTTGGAAAAATCCAAACAATATAAGTAATATGTTGTGAATAATGGATTTCCATGTTCTCTTTGAAAGAGGTGGTTGCTTGTTGATGTTTGTGTTTCCCATAAAGATGTAATTTGCTTTGTTGTATTTTCATGAAATAAATTGTACTATTTCGTTTCTTCAAGAATAAATTTTATTTATTTGACTTTGTGATTAAAGTAAGTTGAATGTTTAGTCTTCTCTGTTTTGGTAAAATTTTATTGCAACGGAAGAGTAGAAATATAATAGGGTTTCTTTGCTATAGTTTGCTTAATAACGATTTGTCATCATGTGTATTTGTGTTACCATTTATTTGTATTATTGACGTAATACCATTTGTATCACTGACTATACCATTTAGATTTGTATTGTAGAGAGAAAGAAAATGACGAGAGAGAGAGAGAGATGAGAGAGGGTAGAGAGAGATGAGAGAGAGAGGAGAGGCAAGGGAGATAGGAGAGAATAATTTGCTATAAAATCTTTAACTATGGTTATGAATCATAATTCTTTTAGACTATAGTTGTATATAGTAAAATACATATCACATATTTACCTTCTTATGTAATTTTTTCTTATTATTACTATAATTTTTGTAAATTTCAATGGGAAGACCCTTTGAAAGATCATCGGTAACCTTTTATCGCAAAAAAGTACAACTAAATTTTGGATGCAAGTTTTATGTGATATGTAGATTGAATTGATTGAGATGAATAAATATACAAGCAAGTAAAGTTAAGATCTCACATGTAGCTTGTGTTGGCCTGATTCCAACAATATTTTCAACTAAGATCTCTCCAAACGATCTTGATATGAATAATTAAAGTTGATGAATAAATATTGATATTGATTGAGAGAAATTTAAGTATTCAATATATAATGTGAATTCGATGATGAACAATATAATAGTTTTTCAACTTTCATAGGGATGGATTTTTAGGATTTGATATATAGATAAGCTATAAATAATTGATTAAATATCATTTAAGAGTAAAAGAGTAACGCTCGATGTTGCCTCTGGGTCGATTTCATCACGGCTAGCAATTTTTGATGATTCTTTATTCATATGTCCAAACCTTGGTCCATTGTTGAGATTATGTTCGATCTGTTTTGCTTCTTTAAGATGGATCACTTCTGACACTGATTTTATTAATCATGTTCCCTTCCACATGTCATCATTCAATACGACCAAGTGTCACATCTATTTTATCCCTATAAAATCCTCACTCAATGGTATATTTTCGATGAATTGCAGTTTAGCCAACTATTGTATCGAAGTAGGCCCCATAGTATAATTTATCATAAAATCTTCTCCTCTTCAAACAGTCTAAAGGGAATGTCTTTGAGCAGAGGCAGAGCGAGAGTTAGGAGTTTATAGATTTTAAATTTTAGGACAAAAGAGATAAATATGAGTTAAGAGGTTAGGGGTTCTATTTTGTTGAATATTGATAGGGGTGTTCGAACCAAAAGTATTTTCACCACCCTTTCTTACCACTGAGTTGTCAATCCATTTTTTTAGACGGTTAACAAGTTAATATACTTATATATTTATTTTATTTTCTAATACAAAAATACAAGATCTACAAAAGAGTTAGTGGGTTCGTCCAAACCCACGAATCCCCACCTAACTCCGCATATTTGAGATAGGGTTTTCTAAATCTTTATTCCTAATAGTAGAACAAAAAGAGATCTAAGAAAATGTAATCAAGTAGACAATTTTTCAATGACTATACTACTTCCAAGAAATCTAATTTTAAATATTATTATTATTTTGCACCTGATCATCTACTTAACAAGAACTATAAATTTTTTTGCATTTTTAAAAAATAAAAAATTACAAATATTTCAGTGAGAGCAATAAGACTATTTAATTTTTCTCATTTTTCCCCAGAGTACTCAGGAGCAAAAAAGTGTCAAAAATCACCCAAGTTTATTAGAACTTTAAGTTCAACATGTAATCAAAGCATTTAACAAAGAAAAAAACCAAGGAAGAAAAATAAAATAAAAATGTAATACAAGAAAAAATAACCATAAATACACCCACACACACAAAAGAAAGATAAAATAATGACAAAAAAATAAATTAACTTTTATATATATATATATATTGTTTGTGTCCTTAAAGATAGAACCTATCAATAAAGATGCACTCAAATTTGGTGAAATTATTTGATCGAGCTTCGAAACGTAGATATAAGAAAGTATTTTAACAATTTAACATTAAAAAAAATATACATTATGATTAAATCAACATCTAAATACAATTAGTAATAAAAACATAATTATTTCTTTTAATCAAATGATCAATACTTCATTTTTGCAAGAACATTGTCATTATACTAGATACATGACCCCGTGCCAGCACGGGGCGCAATATATATTACTAATTTTTTTGTCTCAATGTGATACCATGAAACTTGAGAATTTATCAAAAAATTTATATGATTTTGAAAAATATTTTAAGTTGTTAATTATTATAATTTATAGTACTTTTTTTAAACATAATTTTAAAATAATAGTATATATTATTCTCTTTGTTTTAATTTATGTGGCATATATAGGATTTCAAAAATTAACTTTTTTTTGTCTTTTAAATATATTAAATTATTAATTATTGTAATTTATAATACTTTTTTAATGTAATTTTCAAATAATATATATTACTTTTCATGTCCAAAGTTATGTGACATTGAAGATTTTTTGGAGTCAAGTGATTTTTTTATATATATTTTAATTTTTTTTTAAATTATTAATTATTGTGATCTATAATACTTTTAACGTCAATTTCAAATAATATATGTTTATCATCTAACCAATTTTATGTGGTGCCAATAGAATGTCAAGAGTCAATCGATTTTTTTAATATAACTTTTAAATATTTATGTTGTTAATTATTGTGATTTATAGTATTATTTATATTATTCTTAAATATATAACCAACAAAAAGAATAAGAGAAATAAATTTAATACAATGAAAATACTATATAGTATTGAAAATACTATATATACAAATGTTTAAATGAAAAATGAATAAAGATTCGACATTGTAAAGTGAGCAATGGTTGGGCCCACACAATTCAAGAGAAGAATATTTTGATAGGACATATAAGCCACTAGGTAAATATTGATTGGTTTTTGGGTTCAATAAAGAAAAGGTACAATCTTAAAGCAAGAGGAAAGAAAAAGTAGGAAGTTACGAAAATGCCCTTGTCATACAAAAAGGCATGTCGTCAACATGCCTGCTTGTAGACTCTTCTACTAAGTATATAATACTAGGTTGAAAGAAAAGAAAAGAAAAATGCGAGATATAATAGTGAAGAATATATAATTGGGACTTACACGACCATAGAGAATCAATAATTGGTCCTAGCCATGTTTTTCATACATTATATTCAACGATAACAATTTCAAAAATCAATGAATTGTTAAAATTCTTCAAAGGTATAGTGATAGGAGCAATAATTGAGTGATTATTTATCGCATATGTGATCATGAGAAAGAGTCACCATCTACTTTAATTTTATTAATTGCTTCAATAAGTCCTATGTCCTGTCTTTTACCTTTCGTAATTATGCAAACCATGATTTGTGCTATGCTCATACATTAAATATTTTGTTGTTAAGGCTTTATTTTTAGCACACACAAAAATCATATTTTGTGATTATTTACGTGGAGCGATAAAGTGAATCCCATTAGGGGTTACTCCCTCTAACTCAATACTCAATTACTTGTCTATTTTGACAAATCAAGAAAGAACAATTTTTTTAAATTTATTATACCCTCAATTAATTATTTTGAAAAAGGTAGAACTGTTTGAAAATCTTAAATTTTTAAGTCATCATTTCATAATTAATAAGGATAAATTGGTAAACTAACTATTTCAATAATTATTTTCTTAATAAGTGTGACAATTCAAAAGTGGATAAGTAATTAGGGACAGAGAGTATAAACGAATTGTTAACATTATTTTATATTGACAAATTATTACTCTTTGATTTATGTCATTAAATATTTTTTTAAGGGTGTCACACCTTAACAATTCATTTTTCTACTCTACTATATAGAAGCATGAAGTCAGGACGACCACAGCATAAATTTATTGTACATCGCACTATAGAAGTTGGATAAGGTTCTACTTTAGTTATTTAAAACAAAAGTAAGGGTATTTTCGTCTTTTTCTTCAATTCTTTTCCTCTCCTACGCTTCTGGATCATTCTTCCATTTTCCATTTTCTTCATATGTCTCTCCATAATTTCTCATTCCTCATCTTTACTGTTAACCCTAAGAGGGCAACAGGGTAAGGTAAAATCAAACAAATATATGAATCTCTTCGGAATTTCAATAAGAAGAAGATTCACTAAAGTTTTGTTTTTTAAAAATTCTCTTAATTTTTCATCTCATATTCATCGATTTAGAGTTTAGCTCTTCCGTGTGTAAGGTGAGTTCTTATTTCACTTAAATTTCCCCTTCTTAATATGTCTGCAATTTTTTTTCATATGCTTGCATTCACTGAAAAATAGTCACTCATGAACTTTTCATAAATGCCTTTTTCTTTTCTATCACATATTTTAATTTTCTGATTCTTTGCTCGCTGCATCAGTGTTTGTGTTAAGGTAGATGAATACATTACAACTCTCAATGGTTGGTTGTTCATATAAGTTTCTTCACACTTACTTTCTCTTTGAGGCATGAATATGAGGTACAATCAGATGGTCTTGCAGAGTACAAGCCCTGACAACATAGATTATGGTGATTAGTAACTTTAAATACTTTTGGTTTTATTATGTTTTGGATTATTCGATTTTAACACAAAAACCATACAAGAAGTATAATTTTGAGTCGTCTTTCAAGATGAGAAATCTTGATGAACCTAAAAGTTGTCTCATGTAAAAACTGATTATGATCATGCAGAGGCGTATTCAGGATTTCTGCTATATGGGTGCACGATTACGAAAAAATGTATCTTAAATATAAATTTGATCGATTTAACTTTTAGTTTGTAATATGAACCATTAAAGTTTAAAAATTATAGGTCAAAAATATATAATACTACTAGATTTAAATTTTAATATACACATTTGATTTAATTATATAAAAAATTTACAATGCTAAATTTTTTAGGAATTCTCAATGTAACACACTTGAAAGTTTTGAAAGAATAAAGGAAAAAACAAAGAAAATTAGTTGAAACGACAAAAGTGTAACTGATAACCACTTGAAAAGTGCTACTCAAAGAGACAAGATAGATATAAGCTTAAATTTCTATCTCTCACTTAGAGAAGTGCACCCAATCATCATCGCATTATTATATGATACTTTGAACATGGGTTCACACATCTATATTTAATATTTTTAAGAAAATATAACACTACTATATATGATCTAGAGAGGGGAGCATGGGTTCACGTGAACCCACGGAACCCTCTATATATAAGTATATTTTATCATAAAAATTGATTAGTTGGAGAAGAAATTAATGGAGAATTATTTGCAAGCTCTCTTAAATTTTCAATTCCGGTATAATCCAAGAGAGGACATCATATATGTATGGTACATGGATGACAGCGATGAGGACCAGAGGCTTCCTCAGCACCATGATCCAAAGAAATTTGTGTCTCTTGACAATCTTGCTGGTAAAGATCAGGCTAAGAATTATATTTGTATAAATTATCTATGAGGAACAGAACATTCCCCTTTAACACCCATTCAAAAAAAAATCGCTAGGTGTTGGGGCAGTTTATCTCTTCCATGTTCTCTCCAATACCTTTCGATAAGTTTTTGAGTTCTCTGAACAAGGATCTCACATTTGTAAATTCTGGCTAAGTGGATAAATTACTTTTCAATTAATACTGCTAATCTAATTTGTTGCCAACTCTCTTGGTATTTTGGGGTTAGAAATTGAACAGGTGGATATATTTTTTATGTTGTCATTGATAGATGAAAATCCTACATTGATAAGGATGTATTATCATTGGTCCAAATTGAACAAGGAGTAAAATAATGAACCAACCCTAAGAGTGGTTACAAGTTGATTGCTGGTTTTGTCCTACTCCCTTCTTAATTACTATATGAAAAATTTCGGAACTTGGAATACTCTGCTAGAGACTTGATGCTTACATTTTAAGAGACTATTGAGGAGTTGAATAAAATTCGGAAAGATCACCAATATTCATACATTGTATGTTAAAGTTACAAACTGAAACCTTTCCTCAGTATATGGATACAAGTCGGTCCCTTTTTTTCTTTTTCTTTTATGAGTACTAAAGCTTTAAGAATTCATAATTTTCTTCAGGATTTCTTTGAGGTTTGCCCTGAGAAACTACCAAATTACTAGGAGAAGATCAAGAGCTTTTTTGAAGAACACTTCCATACCAATTGGGAGATCTGTTACTGTGTTGCAGGAAGTGGTTTATTGATTGGAATTTTCTATTCTGCCTTCCAACTATTGTTGCTAAATATATACTTCTGGGTGTAATGTGAATGAGAGCTGGATTTGCATCTGGGTAAAGAAAGGTGGAATGATTGTGCCTTCCTACTGGAATATATTACCGCTTCACGCTTGATTCATATTGCTCTTAAGAAGTTAGGTTTAAATAACCTTGAGTCTACTTTTTTTGTCGAAGCATTCGTAGAATACATCAGCGTTGGCTTATATGTAGTGTATGTATATTATTTACACTCTCATGTATGTGAATAAGTGAATGTCGCACTTCGCATACTCAGATGGATATATTAAAAGTACATATGGTGGGGGCCGAATCAACTGGGTCACCGGTAAAGAATCTCTAAAGCAGTAAGGAGTAAGGAGATTAAACTCTCAGATGAGACTAAGCAGCTACCGACCGTTCCGACGTAGCAACACTACATTTCGGAGCGTGATATTTTGTAGGTATATAATATGCAACACGATGTTTTTGTTATCTGATTTGGCCATCACTTGCATGCATATTAGCAATTTTTCATTTGAATGACATATTTTAATGTTTGTGTGTTGCGAATCTTTGATACATTTACAGTGCTCTGCTCTTAAAGTTCGCTAAGCAGGGGAAGCATAATTATGATTAATATTTATTTTTGGCTTAACCTTGTAAGACGATGAAAGTTGATAAAGTTTCGGTTACTGACCTAAACAATGCGACGAATGGTGCACGCCGTTGTGTCACTTGAACCATGTCCGACTCATCATGATCTGCCGAGAAAGTAAACATTTACATCTACAAGTCTGTGTAAGTCAATAAATGTGGAATAATATTAATAAAAAGAATTTAAAGATCAAACGTCCGCTCATAAAGGTAATCAAAACGTGTGCTTAAGAACTTGGATTGACTAAAAGTTGATCAAATCTATTTTTAATTTTTAGAGTGTTTGATAAAGTTAAAAATATAAGTATAAAATGATTTCTAAAAAATTGAAAGTATGTTTTCACCTACTTTTCATTTTTCAATTCAAAAGTTACCAAATTTTAATTTTCTATAAACTACTTTTAAAAAGCTATTTTTTTTAAAAAAATTAAGTCAAATGGGCTTTTAATTAATTAAATATAATAATTTCAACTTTTATAATACTGGATTTGTGTTACAGCTCATCACCAAACAACGAGAGTCACATTCTAAATCACAATTTTATAATATTGAGTTTGCGCAAACAACGAGAAATCACATTCTAAATCGCAATCTACAAGCACCAAACAAGGACAAATTACTTAGGGGTCATTTGGTAGAGTGTACAAACATAATGCTAGAGGGTAGAAATGTAATATTCAATAGAGTGTATTGGTAATATTCATTAGTAATGCTTGTATTAGTTATGCATAGATTATTTTTTATGTATTGTTTAGTTTGGTATAGTATAAATAGTATGCATTGTATAAAAATATTTATTTATAAAAATATACTCCACAACTATGGTGGAGAAGATGTAAAAGTGATTTTGAGGGGTAATTGAGTTTTTAACTATGCTAATGCATGTATTAAATCTTTTTGCATTACTAATACATAGAAATCCATGGTAATAGTAATACACCCCTCAATACACAATAAAGTATATAACTAAATGCCTGCATTAGTTATACATAATATGAAAAAGTGTACCAAACAAGGGACAACTAATACACAGAGTTAATGCATGCATTATTTTTGCTAATACACTCTACCAAACGATCCCTAAAAATGCAAATTTGTTGGGCCCGTGCTAAGCACGGGCATACTTATCTAGTATATTTTATTTGAGAGAGTACTAAGCTAGCATTTGGCAAATAAGTGGGACACATATGGATAAACTAAATACACGAGTCCGTGTCAACACGGACCCAATATAAATTATTTTTTAGTTTCAATTTATATATATATATTCTTAAAAATATTTGAAGTTGTTAATTATTGTAATTTATAATATCTTTACGTTATTTTAAATAATATGTGTTATTTTCTCTGTCCCAATTTATGTGGCATACGTAAAATTTTGAGAGTCCAACAAATTTTATTTATGTTTTAAAAATTATTAATAATTGTAATTCATAGCACTTTTTACATAATTTTGAATTTCTTTTCTACTCGACTCCTTTTCATTTCATTGATTGGGAAAAAGACTACTTTTCCTACGGCCCGTTAAAATAATATAATTTATTCAAATATTATATTCATTAATACAATATAATACGATACTCCCTCTGTTTTTAATTATAAGTCACTATTTTTGATTTTATGTGCATTAATAAATTAAGTAAGTTTACTATTCTACCCTTATTTTATTTTTTTTGAAGTCAACTTTTCAATCAATGAATATGAACTAATTTATTTTGATTAATTAATTTGACCAATGAACATGAATTATTCACTTAATTTTTCTAGGTTGATCAAATATATATTTCAAGGCTAATAACTCACAAGGGTAAAATAGGAAGAATATTGTAATTTATGCATTATTTTTATGAAATGACAAGTACAAATAGAGAATTACGATATACTCCCTCTGTTCCTATTTATATGTCCTTATTTTAGATTTCACGTGCATTAAGAAACTAAGTAAGTTTACTATTCTATCATTATTTACTATTTTTCTGAAGTCAAGTTTTCAATCAATGAACATGAATTTATTTATTTTTATTATTTAATTTGACCAATGAACATAAAATATTTACTTAGTTTTTCTATGTTAGTCAAATATATATTTTCAAGACCAATGACTCACAAGGGTAAAATAGAAGTAATAGTATTATTTATGCATTAATTTTGTGAATTAACAAGTATTAAATATTATCTTATTTTAATAAGAATGACATATAAATAAAACGGAGGAAATATATATATCTAGGTTGGTCCCGCATAAAATGACTTGTCTCTAGAAGATGTCTTTAATTTCTCCACGTAACACATGGTTGATAAGATAAGCATAGCCGCATAGGGGCAGTTCTGACAAGGAGTACACATATTTATATTGTAGACTCTTATTAATAAGTAAGTAAAGTAATATATTATTGAATAATCATTGTAAATGATATCAACACTTGTCCTCTGCAATTTTCTTAGTGTCACTACATCTTTTTATTTCTAAGTCTTCAGTAAAATGGGTCTAAAATCTGTATTGTGTGTCAAGATAGAAATGAAGGCCAACAAAGATGTGTTTCATGATGTTTTTACAAATAAACCACATCACGTCTCTACTATGTCTCCTTTGCATGTACAAGGTTTTGATCTTCTTGAAGGTGACATTGGAACTGTTGGATCCAAAATTTGTTGGACATATACCCTTGGTAAGCTAAATATTTTAAAATGTCCTAATAAGCCCCACCCCACCCTTGCCCTCCCCTCCCCTACTCATTTCATCCTCATAATCTTGTTTTAGATATATACAGATGTTTTTAAAATAATATTATTTTACTTTCATATCGAACACAAAAAATAGATATAAAATCACTATCAAAACGGAGTAGCAGGTGCAGTCTATAAAAGTGCAGTGCGTTTACAGAGATTTATCATCCACAACCTACTTGAAAGTTTTGGTTCTTTTTATGAACTTGATGTCAATAAATCTGAGAATCTAAAAATTCATTTCGGCCAATTGAATCTTCTCAAACACTCTTCGCTCCTAACTCATTTACGCTTTTGGTATTGACTAAAAATGTCATCTGGTTCCTCATCTAATTTCAACGGATAACAGAATACCTTTAACCTGCCTTTTTTCTGGAAGTTTCTACGATAGTTTTTTCAACTATTTTAGCGATTATGATTGAGATAAATCTCTTTAGATGGTCTTTTAACATGTCAACTCTATGTTGTTTCTCATTTCCAACTCTTTTTTATATGGCAGATGGGGAAAAGAAGATCTCTAAACAAATACTTGAAGCTATAGATCATGAAAAAAAGGTGCTCATACTCAGAGAATTTGAAGGAGATGTAACGGATAAATATGATAGTTTTAAAGCAACTCTTCATAATCGAAACAAAAGACGAAATCGATTTGGTTAGCTGGACATTGGAGTATGAAAGGTCCAAATGATAATGTCCCTGAACTTATAAGTTTGCTGGACTTCGTTGTTGGTATGACAAAAGCTATTGATGATCACCATGCCAATTGATGGGATCTATGTTGCTCGGACTATTAAAAAATGTCATCAGGTGTGTGTCGAATTCTTTAAAAATATTGCATTTTTTAAGAATCTGACATAAGTATGACAATATTTTTGAAGAATTCGAGCAACTTAGGATGGGATCATATATATTCATGTGAGCTTTACATAAATTACCATATGCTTTGTTTGTTGTTTGTCCATGTTGGTTGTGTACTTTTTTTTATGTTTGTTGTGCCTTTCTCATGTAAGTGATATGTTGGCAACTATGTTAACCTGTGTGTTGTGTAATAAGACATGGGTATTAAGTTTATATATATTGACCTTCGCCTCCTCCTAATTTATATAGTGGTGTTTTTTTTTAAATTTTCTTTAAAAGGATCAAGTATATTTTTTAACCATCAGAAATAGTTTAAATATACTTCTTATATTGTAATTTGATATTTATATTTATTTTTATTTAAATACAAAAACATGTGTAAAAGCTTAAAATCAAATGACCTAACGTCACTTAGAAATAGTCAATTCCTTTAGGACCCACTTTGTTTAACCCGACCTGATCTATTTGTCATCTAGTTTCATGTAGCACCATTTCTTGGTCTCTTTTAAAAAGGTCTTTTCACGAAATAATTTAATTTTAAATTTTTTTAATAATAAAATGATTTATAACTATATTAATATTTAAAAATTATTTTAGACCACAAGCTTTAAAAGATTATTTTTTTCAAAATAAAACAGTACTTATTTAACTTATTAGCCATGTAGAAAAAAAATGAATCTTACTTTTAATTTTTTTTTTAGATGTCATGTTGTCAATTCATAAGCGTCCGTGAATTTGAAAAATTGTTTGCAAGTATATTGTACAACGTTTTTTTAAAAGTAAATTATATTTCAATCTTTTTTTCTCACCCGTCTTTTTAATTATAAAATTCAGATTTATGAACGCTTGTAAGTTGACAACACAACTTTAATTTATTTAATTTTTTAAAGAAAAACTGTATTATTAATTTTCACAAAAACAATTACAAATTAATCACGTATACCTTTCTATCTATTCTTTTATTATCTACACAAACTGTAATTCAAAGGAATTAAGGAATGGTAATTCAAAGGAATTAGAAACAATGCACAAAAAAAAGGAAGAATTTTAGTTTTTTTTAGTATATTCAATGCATGAATCTGAGGTAAGATTCTCTTTATTAATTTATACTAGACAAATGTGTTCGTGCTAGTACGGACCCAATATTTATTATTTTTTAAATTTAATTTATCTGATATAGATAGAATTAGAAAGTTAATTAAATTTTAATAAGATTTTTAGATATTTTAAATTGTTAATTACATTTTGTTTGAACAAATTTAATGTGAAGAGGTCCATTAAGATGTCCATAATTAAGGTATTTTTCGTTATCGATTGTTGATTTTGACTCAAAATAGTTACAAGATATAAACAAATATTACCGACATTCAAAATAATAAAACTATAACTAAAGAATATGAATTTAAACTAAAAGTCATAGCTAAAACGGATCCCATAATTTTGAAAAAGTTATACATTAATTAAATTACATTCATTTTTAGAACGAACTAAATAAAACAAAATAGGACAAACAAAGTAAAATTAATAAAGGGAGTATAATTTATACATATTTATTTAGTATTTATTTAGAATTGAACATTGTTAAGGAGTAGTTCCTTATCATAAAAGTATAATGGAAAACAATTACTAGTTTTTGTCCTAAATTTATAAAAATATATTTATTTTGAAACGGTCTATTTTTTCGCCAAAATAATACTTATTTTAGAAAGAAAGGTAATATAGTACTCCCTCTAGTTCATATTGGAATTTTCTTTTATAATCCAAATGAGTGAATTGTTCAAAGTTTAAAAGAATTGTTAAGATTTTTTTTGAATATATTTATCTTTCATTTAGTGATATTACTAACTATTTTATGTTTTTTAGGAGAAGTTTAGAAATAATATAAAGGATAGTAATTGAAAATAGCCTTTTATTTATATCCTTGAATATTTTTTCAAAAAATATATTATTCCTCAATAATTCACTTAATATAAACTGAAGAGAGAATATATATTTGTTAGATGACAGAGAGAGAATTTATAAATTTATAATATTTTTTATTAAATAACTACATGAACTACGATCAAGTTTACTAGTCGAAAAATGATATTATTTAAAATGACCAAATTGACCTCATTCAAATTAAATTTACTTCAAGCACACATGTTGACCACCTCGTGTGTGCTTACTGTGTGTTGTAGACTCTTATTAATAAGTAGTCATAAGTAAAATTAACCAGAAAAAAAAAGCAATACTTTTATTTGGATTTGTTTTTTGTTTAATTTTTTTTATGTATATTTCCTATTAAATTTGTTTACTAATTTTTCTTCTTCAGTATGTCTCACAATATATTTGTCTTTAATTTTTTATATTATAAAGTATTTTACATTTTTATAATTAAATTTATATAAGAAAAGATATATGTGACTGCATAAAACGCGAATAAATTGACTAGTTAAAAAATGAATTGGAGAAGATTGAGGAAATATGATATCTTCTCAGGATCTAAGATAAATAAAAATATAGATTTGCCTAATTGACAAGAAGATAATAATTTTAGATTACTTTTTTTGGCTATGAAAGTCAGAGCATAAATAAGATATATTACTCTAATTCATTTTTTTGAACAAGCAATATTCTTTTAGTCTACTCTTGATGTTTCCACTTTAAGCATGGATAATGAGAACTCATAATATATTACTTTAATATATAATTAAATATGTAAAATTGTCTCCCAACCTTAGTGGCTTATAAAAACATGATCAATTGAATACTCTACATTAAAAGTAAAAAATAAAAAAATAAAAAAATATTAGATTACATATAATAAACATTATTTTTACATATTTCTTAAATATTGAACACTAAAAAAATCTTAAGGATGCTCAAGGGATAATTACATACACATTCTTTTGGTACCTGCCTTTTCGCGTAAGATATGTTAATTTTAATTTATTAATGACATGATATCGTAAATAAATCTAAATTTTGAATGAATGAAAATCTCAACTTAAAAAAATAAATAAATTGAAAAATCATAAATACAAATTGAGTCAATATACCTATATATCAAAAACAAATTATTTATTTTTAAAAATTTAAATATTAACTTAACAAAAAATTTAATTGTGTCACTGACTAGAAGTAAACTAAAAATCTTGAAAGTTATCTCCCATATGATAAATCAAACTAGAAACTTATTTAAGATATCATGCTCAATTATTTGATAAATAAATTATGAAAATGTAATGACTTGTTTCCGTCATTATAGAAAAGTCAATGGGGAAAGATTGGGGCAAGAAAATTTTTGAGTAGTAACTTAGAATTTCTCAACCTAGTCCAGATTTAGACGAAATCAGAGTCGTTAAGGTGAAGGGAAATCTGGTAACAATCGGGTGCCTGATTTATGATTTTGATTACATGAGTGGTTAGATAAGTCGTTAAGGAATTTGTACGACGTTACAGAATTGAATTCGGGTGAGTAGAACTCTCGAAATCGATCTTAGCGTGAACGGTATTTTCTGAGCGTCATTGGTTAAAGGTGTGTTGTGAAATGGGGGTCTTGGAATTATTAAAATAACTCGCTGGTTCCGTGCAAACCGCTGGGGCGGGATTTCTGCCGCCAGGGCGAGGCCGC